CCTGAGTTCAGGTGATCTTCCTGCCTCAGCCTCCTAAACAGATGGGACTACAAGCACCTGCCACAAGGCCTGACTGATTTTTTCTATTTTTGGTGGAGACAGGGTCTCACTCTTGCTCAGACTGGTCTTGAACTCTTGAGCTCAAGGGATCTTCCCTCCTAGGCCTCCCAGAATGCTAGGATTATAGAGCCCAACTTGATGATTTCTGATGGATGTATACCCCTATGCAACAACTACACAGCCACAAATATTTCCTTCTTCACCCCCCAGAAAGCTCCTCCTTCTGTGCTTGGTTTTGCCATCTATGAAAGGGGCAGACAGGAATATCTGCCTCAGTGTGTTGGGAAGATGGAACCAGATGATGCAGGTGAGATCCTTACAAGACACCTGCCATGCAGTAGTTATGGGATAAACCTCTACAGTTGTGCCAGGTGTGGTGGCATATACCTATTGTCCCAGCTACTTAACAAGATGAGATGGGAGGATTGTTTGAACCCAACAGTTCAAGGCTTAGAACTATCTCTGCTCCAGAAGCCTTGATTGCACTGGAGACAGGAATAGGCCAGCTTTTACCCTACATTTGCTCCAAAAGATAGGTCTTCTGTCCTTTTGTCTGAGGCCTCAGTGGCAGGACCAGCTTCATGGGTTGGTGACCAGTGTCATTGCACAGGGCCTCAGTTAGAAGGGTCCCACCCTTGGACTAAAGCTCCCATGTCATGGTCTTGAAATGCTTAGTAATTTTTGAATAAGGGACCTTGCATTTTCATTTTACATTGGTGGGGCAAATTGTGTAGCTGGTGGGAAGAGTTGAACAAGCTGGCTGGTGTCCTACCTAGAGAGCTGGTGCCATTTTCCTCCTCCTGCCCTGCACTCACTACACACATTCACATCTGCATGGTCCCCTCTCTGTCCCGCTCCATAAAGGGGCATCTGGAAGGGTGTGGGACACAAAGAGCCCTCAGCTGCCAGGAGGCAAATCCTGGAAGGCTGCTAGGCTTGGAAACCCCCTTAAGGATAGTTCTTGCTCCCAGATCCTGCTGGCTGGGCCACCCGAATTCCCATCCTCTGATGGTCTTCTCTAGCCACCTCCATCCACTGCAGCTCAAGTGCAAAGCCACAGCTGGGTGCCAGCCAAGGGGACTCACATTTCATAGCATTCAACCTCCCATACCTCGACCCGAGGCCAGGAGGCAATGGAGCCCCTGGCCAGAGCCTGGGCTGGAGGGGGTGGGGTTCCAGTGCTACTCGTGCTTCCCAAGCACCCCAGAGTACCTCTTCTCTTAGACCTCGGTTTAGTTTCCCCTTTATGTAATGGGACAGGACTCTGTAGGGCTGGAGCAGATGCTGAGGGTATAGAAAAGTAGGCCTCAGAGGCCAAGATGTGAAAGGAGATCCCAGGACTGCCCTGTCCAGTAGGGTAGCCAGGAACTGCACGTAGCTATTTAAATATAAATGAAATTAAATTTAAAAAACTAATGTGTTAGTTCTTCAGTCACTCTAGTCACATTTCCAGCACTCAGTGGACAGCACAAGTACTGGACATTTCCATCAACACAGAAGGTTCTATTAGGACACATCTCCAACTGGGAAGGCCAGGATATCTGGGGACACTGGCAGCTTTACTGTCCTGGAGCAGGAAGGCGAAGAAAGGGCTCTGGAGGAGGAACATCTGGCCCATAGTCTCAGTCCTCTCCCCACCCCAAGACTGAAGTGGTGGACCCTCCATTAAGGGGTGTCAGGAGCCTTCTTGGGGTATGGACACCCCTAAAGCGGTTTCAATTCCCAGCTCCTGGAGTGAACAGCAGATTTCCTGGGCCCCCAGCTCAGCAGCTAGAGGTATAGGGAGAGCCTCAAAGAGGGAGAAGGTGACCAATGCAGCTGACCTTTCTAGCAAAGGGCTCCCCAGGAACAATTTCCACATGGGAAACACCAAAGATCATTTTCCTCCAAGTTTGGGAACACTTGCATCCCCTAGAAGAATGGTTCTCAAACTTTACTAACTAAAGAAAAAACTTTAAATGTGTACATATTCACTCAGGTTATAAGTCAAGTTGAAATATAGATGTTTGGGTTCTGCTCAGCTTATGATTTATTATTGTTTGGGCCTGTCTGGGTCAAATCATTGAAAGATATAGGGTTGGTTTAGTCTGGGCACATTAAAAAGGGATGCACACTGGGCGTGGTGATGTGTGCCTGTAATCTCAGCTACTCAGAAGGCTAAGGCAGGAAGATCGCTCAACCTCAAGAGTTCAAGACCAGCCTGGGGAACATGGAAAGACCCTGTCTCTCAAAAAATTTTAAATTCTTTTGGCTCAGTGCCCATAGTTCAGTGGTTAGGGCACCAGCCATGTGCACCAGGGCTGGTGGGTTCAAACCTGGCCAGAGCCTGCTAAAACAACAATGACAACAACAACAACAAAATAGTCAGGTATTATAGGCAAGAGCCTATAATCCCAGCTACTTGGGAGTCTGAAGCAAGAGAATCGCTTAAGCCCAAGAGTTTGAGGTTGCTGTGAGCTGTGACACCACAGCATTCTACCAAAGGGTGACATAGTGAGATTCTGTCTCCAAAAAAATAACTAAATAAAATTTTTAAAAATTTTTAAATTCTTTTTTAAAATGGCTGAACTAATAGACTAGGGAAAAAATAAAAATAAATGTAAGGGAAGTGGCAGAGAGAGTGTTGCAGCAAACTTCAGGAGAGAATGGGGGGGGTGGGAAAGAATGTTGGGGGGAGGGAGAGAGGAAAGGAGGCAGGAGGGAAGAGGGGTGTGTGGAGGGAGCTCCCCTGTGCGTCTCCTGCTGGAGTTGTCCGTCCTGGGCACTATCTCATCTCCATCCCAAGATGACCTTACAAGTTGTAAATGTGTAACTCAGAGAAGTTACAGCACCCCCCTAACAAGCAGACACACAGTCCCTAGGGAATCAGACTGAACTGTTTCCTTTCCTTCCCTCCCTCCAACTCTGAATATTTTCAAGTGAAATAAGCCTGGGAAATGGAATGGCTCAGAGCTGTGAATACATTTTTTTGTTTTCTGGGTTCATTGGGCTGTGACAGGAAACTGAGTGTGGCCGGCCGTCTGAGCCTTCCTTTCAGTGGTGCTGTTAGGCACGCCTTTATGCCAAGTGCAAAGGGCGGTAATTGCATCAAGGCCAAGGTGGCCTCCTTAGCCCCTCACCTGCCTCCTGCCTCCTGCCTCCTGCCCCTCCAGCCAGGGACTCTGGGAAGGGTGGGGAAGGTGGAAGGGTCCTGCCTGGGCTGGGAAACCAAGGGTGAATAAAACCAAAAGTTGGTTTCTCCTCTTTTCAGGAGAAGGGCTGTTCTCAGCATTGAGAAACCCATAAATCACATAGCCAGCTGTGAGGATTCTAGAATGGCTCTCATTTTACAGGTGAGGGAAAGAGACAGACTCTGAAAGCTTAGGAACATTCTCCCTTCCCCTGCAGGCAACGGAAGTCCCTCCTCCCATTTTGTCACACCTCCCCCCCACCACCACCTCCCAAGGTGCCCCACAGATCATCGCCCTTGTGAGGATGAGGGATTATATTTGCAGGTGGCTTTTCAGACTCTCCCTCCCCAAAACCCTGTGAGGCAGGCAAGGCAAGACATGGTCCCTTCTCATAATGGGCTGGTCACTGGACAGTTGCCCAGAACATCTCTGATCACTAGCCTCTGCCACCATCCTTGCTACAGGTGGGATTTGGCTGTCCTCAGTGTTCTCCTGTCTCCTCACTGAGGCCCAGCACAGTTGATGTAGAATTTCCTTCCCTCTTGACAATCTGTGTGCACAAAACAGGCTTGCTTTACACCGCTTTGGAGGGCATCTCCTTCAGCCCCTTCCTCTGCCATCAGGAAGCCGCCTCATCTGCAGCAGGATAAATATTTGGCCTTTAACTACCTCATTAGAAACACGTTGCTGGTTCCTGCCCTGGCCTGATGGGAAGCGCACTCCTCGAAGGGTTAATTAACAGCCTTCACACAGGCCACATTTAGCAACTGAACACAAAGCCACACACATAAATAACGTCTAGGGCGGAAGAAGAGGGTGCAGATGGTTTGTGACTTTGCCGTCCAGAGTTTTCTAAACCGATGTGAACCATGTCCTGTCGGGCCCAGGACCATGAGTCAGGGTCAGGCTTCGAGGTGGCCAGGCCAAAGCCGCTAGTGGCCAACTTTGTGCTCTGTTGAAAGAGAGCCTTAAAGGAAAACAGAAAGCTGAGCCAAGATGTGGAGGAGGGAGGGGTCCAGGGCGGGGATGGGCCTGCTGAGTGAGAGAGAAGAGGCAGCTAGAGACACAGACCCAGAGACCTGAGCAGAGGCTCTGAGTCCTCCCTCCCTGCAAGTGGTGCTGAGTGCCCCCCTGGAGGCTCCACTCAGGAATTTAGACCCTGGGCACAGGGTCCTGCTTCTGTCCTGCAGTGACCATGATGCCAGACATCTCAGGCCTGAGAAAAGGGGGCACGAAGGATGGCCTGAGAGAGCCTGAAGGTGGCACAGTGGCATTCACTATATTCTGCCTCGTCTGTGGGAAAGGTCTGCCCCTCTGTGCAGCCTCAACCCCCCAGGGGGCTCATATGCCCACCTCCCTACAGCTCTGGGAACATATCTGAAATCTTACAAT